AGTGGTAGTGGTAGTGGTAGTTGTCGTAGTAGAAGTAGAACTATCTTTGAAGCAAATCCGAGTTATGAATAATGGCGGGTTTGTCGTTTAATCTCTCCATTCGTATTTACATATGTTTTCAATTACTTGTTTTTTATCTAGTGTTCTTGATTTGTTTTTTAGATGACTTTATTTGTTTGTATTGTCTTCTTTTGCCTTTAGATGTTTTGTTGCCCAAATTGGCACTTGGCCCATGCAGACTTTAAAATGGCTTTTCAGTCTACATGTGGCCTATCATACTATATTTGTCATGGTTTGTTATCTTTGCTGGGTGTCATTATTGCCAGTATTGACCTTGTTCTGCTGGCAGCTGGCACCTGGCTCACGACGTTCCTTTCATTGCGGCTTTTCGCTCCTCTAAATCTCTTTAGATCTTCTTAAATCTTGTTAGATCTTGTTACATCTTATTAAATCTTGTTACATCTTATGAGATCTTGTTCGACCTTATTGGATCTGATTAGATCTTACCTTACAGAAAACATCAAGTCAACTAAACCCCGCGGAAGTGGACCCCGGTCTAAAGCCAATGAAAGTAGAAGTAGTAGTAGCCTTCCCTGCAAACCTGGCATTCCCATTATTTTCCTCCGTTTATCCTAAAGTGTGATCTTGGAGGTTAGCACTATTGACTCGGACATCCTCTCAGTGCAACACAGTAACAGTAACAAAGTAAAAGTAACAGTAGAATGAAACTAAGAATGGCAGTGGGAGTAGCGATAACAGTCACAGTAACAGTCACAGTAACAGTAGCTGTAACGGTAACAGTAACAGCCACAGCAACAGGTACAGTACTATCAACAGTATCAGTACGGTGCAGTCAAGTGCAGCAGCAGTAGTAGTAGTAGTAGTAGGCAGAGGCAGAAGCAGTAGCAGTAGCAGTAGCTGTAGTAGTTGTAGTTTTACAAGAAGACTGCGATTCATAGAAGGCACCTTTGTAGCAGGCTCGCAGTCCCTCAGCCGCCGCCTCGTTGCCATAGGTACGTAACTAGCCATGTTTCTATTGCCTCTAAAGCTGAACCCCGGACTCTCAGGACATAGAGGCCAACTGCACATTCTCGGTCACCCGTGATTTTTTTTTGCAGTCCAGGTATCTTTCAACACGGAAGAATGCTTCCGGATCGGTTTTTACATTTCGGTCTGTTGGGTTGTTTCGTTTCTCGCACGGATATGTAGACGACTATCTGTCCGTTTCCTGAGGGCTTTTAGAGTTTTTGTGTTTGGGGCAGCAGGGGCTAGAGGGACTGGACATGGTTTATGGCTTCAGAAATTGAGGTTGCTGGGTCTTGCAAACTTCTAGATGCAGGTTTGCAGGCTTCTCTTTGGGGTTACCCTAAACCCCAAACTCCCTAAACCCTCCTGGAGACCCTAAACCCTAAACCCTAAACCCTAAACCCTAAACCCTAAACCCTAAACCCTAAACCCTAACCTGGAGAAGTGGAGGCTGGTTCCACCTCTTCTTCTTGGAGAAGTTGATTCGGGTGCCTCCTGAGCATCTGCAAGCCTTACCTAGAGAACCCCAGGCTTGGATCCTTTTATAAGGGTTTATAGGGTGTATA